CATTTTTGGCCATTGTTCTAAATTTTGTGTTTAATTCTATGTAATCGCGTAGCCATGGAGATTGCGCGAATTGCAGTATACGGTGAATCTTAGCGTTACGGAGGCCGTGATGAGTACACTGCTGCAGGTTGCGATAATGTATGACGTAACGCTGTTTATCACATAATGTTGCGAGGAGCTTGTCATCGCGCTTGCCGGGTGGTTTCTCTCGCGTCGGACAGAACGGTAGGTCAGTGTGCGCGTCATGAAGATGTTGCGGGTACTCCAAATCCACCTCGAGAATATAGCCTGTCTGCGAATCTAACGCGATGGTCGTAAAATCGAAATTGTCGTCGACCCTTGGCGTAGGGCAATGGTTGTCACATTGCCCAGCCATACAGGTTGTTGACGTCATAGTACATCAAGTACGATGACGGTTTCGATGGATCGTACGACGGCATGTATTTGTTGTTGGCTCGCGCGTACCTGTTTGTACACTGGCTCAGACCACCGCGTATAACGCGCTCGACAAACATGACTATGTCGATGTCTGTCAACAATTCAAATTTTACACCAGTATGTTTTAACATGGCATCCCATGTGAAGCCAGGTAAGGTGTAATAATACGCGGAGTCTAGCCTGTAACTCGCGATGCAACTGTCGCGGAAATTTTCGAAGACGTCGGCCAACAACAATACGTCTGTTTTTAGATACAGGTCGCTATATTCACCGAGCATTTGGATGGAGAAGCGCTGCCACACGTTGACGACGTGCGCGTAATCATTCTCAGATACCGTGCTGTCAGTCAATGAGCTGTAATATGACTCGCGAGATGGCAGGCGTAATTCGTTCAATTTTTCGCTGCAGTCAATGTACTCGTACGGAAAAACGCCCTTTCGAGTCAAAAGATTAAAATTTTCTTCAAATGGGAAAATTAGCGTTGCAGTACCCGCAGCTTATCATTGTTGAGAAAAGATGACAATTTGTCCAAACTTGAAGCGAGAAATCTATATGAATCTATGAAACGTAATTGCACACAATTTTTTTGATCAATTTTTGTACTATCAACATGTTTAGTAAAAGATATATATTTTTCTTTAGTTATTGGAAGCAGATCTACGCGTCCTTCATACGCGGTTGCAATTTTCTTGATAATAAAATCGTAACTGGATAAGTTATGAAAGACTACAGGTATGCAACGCGAATCTCTTAATTTAGATTGCAATTTGAGTGCGCTGGACCTCTGTATCGCCCGGTGAGATGGCAGTGATCGCGTACCCGCGTATCGTCTGGTTAAACGGTTTCTCGCTCACGTGACAGTGCGAGACGCTGTTAAATTTTTCCCAGTCGTCGCGCGTGAAATCTGCCATGGGAACATTGGCTGAAATTACAGACTGTACACTATGCGCTAACTGTCTAAGTTCTTCCGCGAACTACGCTATACAGTCTTTGTCGCGGCGGAAACGATAGCCCGATAGTGAGCTGTCGTAGGAGCATTGCACGTAATACCCGATACTGAAGACGTTGTGATGTTGGTACGTATGCGTAGCGGATTGTGAATCGCTATCTATTCTTTCCAATGCACACTCAAGATCGGCGTAGACTACGAACGGGACACGCTCTTTCCTGCAGTGGTTGCAGAAGCTCAGCCACTTGTCGTCCTTGCTCGGCAGCCTTATCGCACAATCGTTAATTTTTTCACA